TTGTAACTTATCAAGGATTCGTGAGGGAGGGAGGGGGGAAGAGAGGTGGAAGAAATGGGGAGCTGATATCAGGGGCTCAAGTGGGAAGAGAATGTTTTGAAAATGATGATGGCGGCATATGTGCAAATGTGCTTGACATACTGGAGGAATGTATGCATAAGAGATGTAAGAGCCCCCAATAAAAATATTTTAAAAACATAGACCATCGACTGCAGCTTATGGTTTCCTTGCAGTTCTTTTTGTTCTAGGATAGAGCCAGTTTGGGATATACACACAAGACACTGACTCTTTTAATAACACTTTGTGACTTTAAAATACCTTCTTGTGGTTATGCCTTCTACCAGTTGATACAGCTAGTTTATTTCTATTGATTTTCAGAGATGACTTGTCCCCCTGTCTTTAGATTTTGCAAAACATTTTAAGTAGTTGTAAAGTGAAATGATATTACAGGGTACCTTAGCAGTCTGGTCAGAATGGACCCAGTCCCTTCCCCTATGCTTTCTTTCTCTGATTACGCTGGTTCATTGCTCTTCACTTGTTTGCAAGCCAATTCCCATCCAAACTGTTGATTCTGACTCATGGTGTTTCAAGGTAGAACTGCACTCCATAGTTTTCAGTTGTTGGATTCTTTCAGAAGTAGGTCATTGGGCTTTCCAAGGCACTTCAGGGTGGAGTTACCCCCACCAGCCTTTTGGTTAGTAGCTAGGCATTTAATCATCTGTACCACTCAGGGTCTTCCTGCACATAATTCATGAATTCTAATCCTTATAACATCTCTGTGATGTTAACATCATTATTCTCTTCATTTTACAAATGAAAGTATAACGTTTACCAAGTACCAAAAAATCCCTGCCATCGAGTTGATTGTGGCTCATAGCAACCCTATAGGAGCTGCCCCGGGAGGTTCTGAGCCTGTAAATCTTTCTTCTTGGGAGCTGCTGATCGGTTTGAGCTGCATACCTTGCAGTTTGCAGCCCAGTGTGTAGCCCACTACTTCATCAGGGCTCTGTACCAAGTACTAATTATCCCAAAGCAAACTGCCATCAAGTTGATGATGACTCCTGGTGACCCTCTAGGAGAAGGTAGAACTGCCCCTGTGAGTTTACAAGACTAACTCCGCAAGAAGAAAACCTCGTGCGTTTTTCCCCTCAAAGCAGCTGGTGATTTCCAGCTGCTGACCCCGCTTTGCAGTTAGCAGCCCCGCACAAAACCACTACAATCACTTGCTTAAAATCACACGGCCGTGAAGAGGTAGAACCAGGATTTTGACTTTGGCAATCTGACTTTGCTCAGAACCCACTACATTGCCTCTGGATGACGGCTTAATTAAGAAATACCTTTATTCATATTCTAGTAACAGTAATAACAGAAGGGAGTTACATTTGACTCTGAGTGCCAATATGCCTAAGGCTAGACCAAAACCCCTACAGTTGATTTTAATCTTACTGTTAAATGTCTCAAAAGATTTTTAAGATCTATTTTAGAAATCATTTATTCCCAGCCTTTTTTAAAAGCATATTTTGAACATTTCTGTGGGTGTGTGATATTGAGAGTGATTTTTTTTTTTTAATTTCCTTTTCTGCTCTTTTGATCTTTAGTTCTCTCTGACCTCCATTTCAGCAGCATTTGACAGTTCAGGAGCTGGCTATTCCACATGAGTGATTAAAAGCAAAAGGATTTGGCAATGGGCATATTGTTGACATATATTATTATATACATACAATGTCAGTAGAACAAATATTCCTGAGACCTTGAAAAGAAAAGAAAAAAAAAATCAGAGCCGTTCAGAGAACAGGAGAAGATGCTTTGATATTAAAGTTTAAACGTTGGAAACTAGTATCATTTTTAGTTTAGAAAAGGCTCAAACAATGTTAGCCAAGGCTTTTGTTTATTTCCTGATTAAATTCAGCCTTGTTTAATTGCTGTATTTTTTATTCAGTAAACAATACAATTTATATGGTGAGTTACCAGTGAAATATCTTCACAATAATAAAACATTTAATTGCCGAGACCCAAAGCCCATCTGTAGGCAACTGTACATCCCCTTATGGAAGAGTCTCGGGGAGGAGATGAGCCAGTCAGGGTGCAATGTAGCAACAATGAAACATACGACTTTCTTCTAGTTCTTTCATGCTTCCTCCACCCCTACTATCATGATCCCAATTCCACCTTGCAAGTCTGGCTAGACCAGAGGATGTACACTGGTACAGATAGGAACTGAAAACACAGGGAATCCAGAGCGGATGGATGATCCCTTCAGGACCAGTGTTGAGAGTGGCGATACAGAGAGGGTGGAGGGAGGGTGGGGTGGAAAGGGGGAACCAATTACAAGGATCTACATATAACCTCCTCCCTGGTGGACAGACAATAGAAAAGTGGGTGAAGGGAGATGTTGGACAGTGCAAGATATGACAAAATAATAATAATTTATAAATTATCAAGGGTTCATGAGGGAGGGGGAAGTGGAGAGGGAGGGACAAAAATGAGCTGATGTCAGGGGCTTAGGTGGAGAGCAAATGTTTTGAGAATGATGAGGGCAATGAATGTACAAATGTGCTTTACATAATTGATGTATGTATGGTTTGTGATAAGAGTTGTATGAGCCCCTAATAAAATTATTTTTTTAAAGGCAAAAAACAAAAAAAATTAATTGCCAGACATTAATAATAAAGGTGCTTCAAACGTTTGTGAACAAATGGAGTGGAAAGATACTGGAACTTTTTAATGAACTTTTTGAAGCCCTCTTGTATGACTTCAAAAACCCTCTTGTATGTGGGAAACTAGAATTGGAGCTGGTTGGAGCTTTTCAGTATTTCTTTACATAGAACTTCATCAACACTGTCCACAAAGATAAGAATATCCCTTTGAAAATCTTATCTTAAAATATATCCCCCAAATACCTTAGCACCGTATTTCTAAGATTTAGTTATTACAACCTGCAATAAAGGAGGAGGAGCATGTGGCATAAGAAACCTTGATGTGAATCCTATCACTTAAGGTGCTGGGTATTGCTGTACAAACGGTTTGACCTTTCTGAATCTTATTTTGATAATAGAAATGCTGGTACCTCCCAAACAATGCTGCCAAACCCAGACTTACTGCTATTGAGTGGATCCCAACACATAACAACACGATAGTAAGGAATAGAACTGTCCTTTGGCCTCTTTGGGATTCTGAGACTCTCATTCTTTACAGGAGCTGTCAGACAGACTCATCTTTCTCCCATGTGATTAACAACTCACTGCCTAATGGTAGCCCGGTAAACCCTAAATGAATGACAGGCCCTGGCGCTTCATGGACATGTGGCCATTTGCATGAACATGCAATGACAGAATAAAAGGGGTTTAGCAGCCTCCTCCAGCCCTCTATTCTGTATGGGAGGAAAAGTCAGCTCTCTAGCAGTCTTCAGTGATTTTGAGTCAGAAAACATGACTTATAAATGTCTTAGAGATTTCAAAGGGCTTGTAGAAAATTCGATTTTCTCTTCATTTTTCCATAAACTTTTGGAAACCACCTTGTGTATCCCTTACTCATTTGGTCCTTTTGTTTGTGTTTGTTTTTCCCCATTATTTGGTTTTATTTGGTTTATTATTTGATATTTTTGGTTTTATTTGAAATTTGCCTAGTGATTTATCTTGAGAGAGGACAGTATGTTGAGCATTGAGAGACAGAATTACTAAAGGAAATCATGAAATGCTCATTCATTGGTGTATTTGTTTCTAACAGATGGTGAATTTCTGAAAGGTTTAGATGTCTCTTAAGATTTTGTAAATATCACTTTAGATTTGTTGTTATTTTCACTGTTTCAGGGAATTTCATTCTAAGCATAGGACTTTTGTGTAGGTTTACCTAAAAGTGAGTGTTTACTTGTATCATGATAAAATTTAGGCACTTAATGCTTTGATCAGATTACATTGTCTCATATTTGCTTTTGAATTTTCTAGATTTCCTAGCCCAGTTCGTTAGTGTTCTTCAGTAAGTGTTCTACAGAATCCAGAGTTTAATTTTTTCTTTTTAATGAGGTGAATAGACAGTTTGGCAAATTGACTCATTCACTTCATTTAACCAATATGTATGGTGTGCCTGCTGTGTGCCAGAACCTTTGTTAGACTTGTGGAAATGATGGTGATCAGAAACTTTCCTGCCTCATGAAACCTGTACCGAAGTTGGAAAGAATCGATTCTTCACTATTTAACATAAATGCGAAATTAATGCTAGGGAAAGTAGTACATCTTTCCCATAGACTACTTTGTGCTAGAAAGGATTCACTGAGGTGCAGATGCTCCAGCCTTAAGCTGAAGAATAGGGAGGAATTAAGTAGCTGGGAGATGGAGCATTCCACCCCCAGGCCACAGGCCGGGGTAGAGAAAGAGCTTGACTAAGGTGAATTGGAGAGGGCCGCGCAGAAACAAGCTGGAGAAGTAGAGAAGGGACCACGCTGTGATGACCTTCTCGGACCAAATTGAGGAATTCCTGTCTTAGGAATCTTGGTGGCACTGTGAGGGTTGTACTTTTAAGGCTGGCGGTTCAAACCCAGCTGCTGCTTAGGGACTCCTCAGGAGAAAGGTGAGGCTGTCTGTTCCCATAGAGACCCTCAACTACTTGGTTTAGGGGTCACTATGGGTTGAAACGGACTTGATGGCAGTGAGTTTGGTTGATTTGGCGTCTCTTTCTTAAGAGGTATTAGAAGCCTGAACAGTGAAGTCTTGAGTGGAGCAGAAAAAGACAGAGGAGACCCTAGGTTCTTTTTAAGCAAAACAGAATGCTAGCGTGGGTCAGCGTGAGTACTGCCAATCCGTCAGGAACCTTTACAGCAGCCAGATGGGGGCGAGAAGATGGTAGTCTAAATTATGGTGGTGCAGTAGAGATAGAGAAATAGATAAACCACAATTAAAAGGATTTTTTTGGTTTTAAAGTTTTGATGTTTTACTTATTGAGTTAAAATATGTGAAAGAATTTGCAAGTTGATTGATTGACTTTATTTTTTTCCCCACCTTTAGGAATTATCCAGCCTGCTTGTGCTGTTAGATGAAGAGAAAACACAGTGAATTAAACAAAGGACCAACAAGGGATTGCCCTTGGTTTTTGTGCTTTTTAGTATTCATCAAGCTCTCTTCTGCAGGCAGACACTGCATTTAAGTTAGAAAAATGAAGCAGTTGAAAAGAAAAAGGAAAAGCAATTTCAGTGTTCAAGAAACTCAGACCCTTTTGAAAGAAATTACGAAAAGGAAAGAAGTTATTTTTTCCAAGCAGCTCAATACGACAATTAACGTGATGAAGCGGATGGCCTGGGAGGAGATTGCGCAGTGTGTGAATGCCGTGGGAGAAGGTGAGCAGAGGACGGGGACAGAAGTGAAGAGAAGGTACCTTGACTGGCGAGCCCTCATGAAGAGGAAGAGAATGAAGGCAAACATTAAGCTCGTTGGCTCTGGCTTCCCGCTTCCGACATCCGATTTAGATGACTCTCTCACTGAAGAGATAGACGAAAAGATTGGATTCCGAAGTGAGACAAATTTTGATTGGCAAAATGTGGCAGATTTCAGGGATGCAGGTGGATCCTTAACTGAAGTCAAAGTGGAAGAGGAAGAACGGGATCCACAGAGCCCTGAAGTGAGTATAAACCAGTGACCTCTGAAACATGCTCTTCCTCGGGCCTGCTTTGGGAGCTGTAGTTCATAAACAGAAATCTCCCATGTTCAAGCTAACTTAAAGATAGTGCAGCGGGAGGGCACTCCATTTTTCCCTTTTCTCTTCCCTTCATTCATCCCTTTCTGCTCACCCAAATCTTCTCACTGTGCTTGTATGTAGTAATGACAGGAGGGAAATTACTTCGTCAAATTCAAGTAAATAACTGTGTGTGCGATTCATATAGAAAGTTTTTCAGAAACATTTAGGGAACACGGACAGCCTGAAGTAGAAATACTTACTGAAACTCACTTTTTTCCTTTTTCTTTTAGTTTGAGATTGAGGAGGAGGAAGAGATGTTATCGTCAGTTATCCCTGACCCCAGGAGGGAAAATGAACTTCCTGATTTCCCTCACATTGATGAGTTTTTTACCCTGAACTCAACGCCATCTAGATCATATGACGAGCCCCATTTGTTTGTAAACATTGAGAAGCAGAAGCTCGAGTTGGAAAAACGGCGGCTGGATATTGAGGCGGAAAGACTGCAGGTGGAGAAGGAGCGCCTCCAGATTGAGAAGGAGAGGCTCCGGCTTCTAGACCTGGAGCACGAGCGGCTGCAGCTGGAGAAGGAGCGGCTGCAGCTGGAGCGAGAGAGACTGAGGTTGCAGATCGTCAGCTCGGAGAAACCGTCCTTGGAAAGTGAACCTGGCCCCACCGAGAAGTCCATCCTTCAGCCTCAGGACATAGAAGCAGAGAAGCTGAAACTTGAACGAGAACGCTTGCAACTGGAGAAAGATAGGCTGCAGTTTTTGAAGTTTGAGTCTGAGAAGCTGCAGATTGAAAAGGAGCGCTTACAAGTAGAGAAAGAAAGACTTCGCATTCAGAAGGAAGGACACTTGCAGTGAATTTTAAGTCTACAGTTGGCAGATGTTTGTAAACCTTAGGTTTTACTGTAGGTCTGGTAATAATCAAGTTGATTGTGGGATTCGTTGTTTGGGGTTTTGTTTTCCCCTGAAAAATGTCAGTGTCTTCTGTAGGGTAAAGATGGTTATGTGTGAGTTATGTATGTCTAACTAGTGTTTGTAAAACTCTTTTGTGCTCTGACCTGTGTATTAGAAACTATTGGCGTGTATGCTTCCACCAAGTTATGGTACATAGTCTTGTATAATCTGTGCATCCAGAGTTTAGAGTTATGTCTGTGTAAAACTAGTCCAGTGCTTTTCAACCAGGAGTGATTGGCATTGTCTGGAGACACTGACAAGGGAGCTGCTAATACCATCTACTGGGTAGAGACCAGGGTTGCTGGTGGACATTCTACAATGCACAGGACAGCTCTCCACAGTAAAAAGTTGCCTCGTCCAAAATGTCTGTAGTGCCCACGTTGAAAAACCATATCCTAGCCTGATTGTGATCCATAAAGCTTTTATAGTTTCTGACTATTTAAAACCTAAGATATTTACGTGAGTAGGCACTTAACTGGCCAAATACTTTATGGAATATTACTGTGTAGAATATTGAATGTAGGAAGTGATGAAGATTATAGATATTTTATCCCCCCTTTTTCATCCTTCTGAGATTTGGAAAACAATTCCAGGGACTCAGATTACTCTACCTTTTCACTTTGGAAAGCAGATTATTCATCTATCTAGCTATTGATGTTCTATAAGAAAATACAGACTTGAAGCTGTAGATCCTTTCTTTGATGCGATCATCTTATTTCTGATTAAAAAAAAAGTCATTTCAGCAATGTGCTAAAAGCCTTATCTAAATAAATGGTTTAAACTGATAAAAATTGTACCATTTCCGTGAATTTAACCCAGTAAAAGAATTTGCTTTTTGAAATGAGTAATAGCAACTATTTAGGAGTGGGGAAGGGGGACTGTCCCCTGCATCGTATAATAATGATGATGCAATCATGATTGTAGTTGTGTGTTTTGAATTGACAGGAACAAATACCACACGGCTGACCTAATCTGTTGACTGTCTTTGAGAGTGGACTCTCATTCCACACTGTGAGGCCCACAGAAGTCACCTCCTGTCATGTGTACTTTGCACTCACTCTGAAGAGTGAGAAGTTGGTATGTTCAGGCCCTTTGTTTGTTACTCTAAGAAGTCAAGGGCTCGTTTAGCCCGCTGATCTGCCTTCATTCCTCTAATAAGTTACCATTTAGTGGTCTGAAAATGATGGATAAGCCACCCAGGAGTTTCCATCTGCTCACTGTAAATCTGAGAGTGACGTCTGTCATTTAGCTCTCTCTCTCTTGTGGCCACAACATTTACTTTTAAAAAATGAGAGAAAGGGAAATATTTTCACCAGCTCAATTGTTCTCAAAGCTTGGTTCCCAGACCAGCAGCATCAGTTTCACCTGGGAACTCGCCTAGAAATAGATACTCTATTGGACCAAGCCTGAGGCAGGACCCAGCTTTTTTTTTTTTTTTCTAATCCTTTTAATCATCGAGGTGATGCTGATGCTCCCGAAAAGTTTGAGAATTCCTGCACTAGATCACTTTGTGTTTTTGATTTCTAGGCCTTATCTATAGCTTTAATACATTTATTATATTGGTAGATTCCACCTTGATTCTGTGTGTATTTTTAATTTCAGACTGACTTGAAACCATATGTGATACTTGGATATGAGTAGACAAAAAAAAAATGTACTTCTGCATAGTTATCCTAATTTTGAAATAGTTATTTTTTATAACTGAAATAAATACTTCTGTAGAAAGAAATTGTGATTTTTTCTGACTTAAAGTGATGTTCAGTGTTGCAAGTAAGGGTTGAGGTTTTAAACCTGGCAAAGAGGGAATAGGTGTATTAACATTCTAGGCATTCTGCTGTGTGCTGTACAAATATATGCTCCTCAAAGCAACCTTGAGTTAAATCATGTTCTCTCAATTCTTATAAGGAAACAGTGCCTCATAAGATGTAATGATTACATACCTGAACTATTACATAAATACCCATATTGACCCAATTTCTATTATGAGAGGTCTAAGTCTGGGTTTAGCTGTAAATCTGTAGGTTTAGTTCTAAGTATTATAGCCTTGCGGTGTGCCACCTGTAAAAGTCATTGAACTTGCTTAGTGACTTGATTTCTTCATTTGTAAAATGGATATACTAATGCTTCCTCTGCTTATGGTTCATAGTTTTTTGCTTTTTAAATAAAATGGTGTATGTATTTAAGCTATAAAAGTTACTTAAATTCAAGGAGTAAGCATAAAGATAGTGAATAATGGTTTTTGGACCGAGTACTCCAAGAACTTTAAAAATAGGTTAGTTTATTCCAGAGCTTTGGTTTATAGAACCTTGGGTTTTATGTTAGGGATCTCTAGAGAAGCAAAGTCAGGACACTTAGGATTTTTAAAATATATGTTTATATTTGTATGTGTGTGTGTGTGTGTGTGTGTGTGTGTATGGAGGTACCCTGCAAAAAACTGGAATTGCACGGGGAGGAGCAGTACACATTTTCCCTGCCAGGTGAGCTTGGAGCAACTTGCTCTGAGTTGATGCACCCAGTGGCGTCGCCTGGGAAGGTTTTCTCTGGCCACACTGCATTTTTCGTAAAAGTTCAAGTTTTTATGATGGCTTATTTAAGTGAACAGCATGTGGCTGTGAAATTTTTGTTTCCTGCTCAAGAAAAATGCCACAGAAACTGTTGTGATGCTGAACACAGTTTACAAGGACAGCAGTATGGGAAAGACTCAAGTGTGTGAGTGATTTTCTTGTTTCAAAAAAGGTGAAATGTCTATTGACAGACCTGTTCTGGATGTCATCAATTTCTCAGAAAGGACAATAATATCGACTTAGTGCATTTGGAGTACATACCAGGTCAGACTGTTAACCAAGCTTTCTATTTAGAGGTTCTGAAAAGTTTGCATAACCGTTTGTGACAAACAGCCCTGATTTGTGGCAGACGGCACTGATTTTGTCACCATGACAATGCACCTGCTCACGCAGCCATCTCAGTGTGCCGGTTTTTGGCAAAAAACAGCATGCCTTTCTTGCCCCACACACCTTTCTCACCTGACCTTGCTTCATGCATCTTCTTTTTGTTTCTATGAATGCAGAGGGACATGAAAGGACATTGATTTGAAGACATGGAAGAGGTGAAAGGAAAAACTGAGGGAGGTGCTATAAGCCAACCAAACAGATGAATTTGAAAAATGTTTCCAAGGATGGAATTGCAGATTTGACAACTGTATTATGTGTAATGGGAGAGTACTTTGAAGGTGATATGGTTGTTTTATAAAAAAAATTACATAGCTTTGAAAAAAAATTATGTTTTTTTTGGGGGGTACCTCCTATATTTGGATGGATCCGTTTATATAGCGAAAAGTAATATAACAGCAAATTAGTCCACTCAGCAGTACAGAAAGCTCAGTCCAACTCACTTTTGTGGGGCATTAAATATACTGAAGGTCCTTCCAAACAGCAAATTAGTCCACTCAGCAGTACAGAAAGCTCAGTCCAACTCACTTGTGGGGCATTAAATATACTGAAGGTCCTTCCAACTCACATGGCCACTAGCCCAAGGCCAAGGAAGCAGGTCTTGGTGGAACCTCATGGTGGAGCCATGCGAAGTGGCTGGACATGCAGCGTCTGGAGTGCTGGCAAGACAAGCAGGTCGGCCCTCAGGCAGCAAACATGGCGCAGCAACATGGTCCACCGGACTCAGCCTGGTGGAGCAAAGTACTACCAGGCCTCTGGGTAGCACAGTACACATGATCAGGCAGGACAGCCAGCTGAGGCAGCATGCTGCTCTGATCACCAGGGGGAGAAAAAGAGGCTCACATACAGTGAGCCATTTATCTCAGTTGTACCTCCAAAGGTGGTTATCAAGCTAAACTCCACCCATATCCTACAGGTGCCATGTTGACACAAAAAACTTCTCCATTGGGCAATCTGTCTAGGTATTCAGCTTCTAAGGATGTTGGCTGGCTTAGCTCTTAGGTTCTTTGATCCTGTAGCAAGGTTTCCAGGTGCCTTTAGTCATCCCAACTCAAGGCTGTCCCACGTGTATTTTCAGTGATTGATTTTATTGAACCTTCGAGCTTTCTATTGGCAACCAAGAGTATTAACACTTTGAAGGACCCAACTTGGGGAAGTTCTAATGGTGGCAAGTGTCCAAAAGAAAAAGCAGAAATGTTCAAGTGTCTGAACGTAGACTCAGCATGGGATTATGCCATCACTTTATTTCATATCCTTCCAAAATAAATCAATAATAGACTGAAGTTATAAGGTGGGGAATAAAGCCCACTTGATGGATGAGAGAAGCCGAGAGGATACATCATGAAGCATAAGAACACTGGATTCAGGAATTGTAGCCATTTTTACATTCAATCTATGACACCTACACTCTGGTCTGCCTGATTGCACCAGTGGTCCTGGTAGTTCAACTGGTTTAACATTTGCCTTAAACAAAAATGGGGCATTAAATTATCTGGTTATTCTAGTAATGGAGAACACTTCTTTTGTATACATTAATTTAGTAGAGACCAAAAATTTATAGGAAAAAAAATCACCCTTTTGTTTCTAAATTAAACACTAATCTTTGCCGCTGGATGGAGAAAATTCATCACTTAATTTCATAATTATTTCATTGGTGATTTCATTTGATAATATATGTGTATATATTTCAATGCCCTTTTCTTTTTTTCTACCTCTTCATATTTTGTCACCTCTATATGGTGTAGTGGTTACGTTTTGGGGTGCGATTCACGTGGTCCGCAGTGCAAAACCACCAGCAGCAGCTCCGCGGGAGAAGGACTGGGCTTTCTATTCCCGTCAACAGTTCGCAGTCTCGGAAACCCCCCTGGAGCCACTGTGAGTCAGCATTAACTAGATGGAAGCAACTTTTATTCTGACTATAAAAGCAGATCATAGTGCTAGAATAATTTAAGAACTACTTTTTCACAACATTTTAAAAAACAATGCTTTTAACTGTGTTCTACATTTGCTTTAACATTGTATTTCTTCAGAAGTAAATTTCATTTTTTAAAAACTTTGTTTTTAATGTGTGCCTCAATGACCATCAGTGAGTGCATGGGCTTTGTAGTCACTAAGGAGCGCTGGTGGCACAATGGTTAAGCACTCTACTGCTCAATGGAAAGGTAGGTGGTTTGGGCTCATTGGCTGCTGTGGAGAGAAAGATGTGGCAGCCGCTTTCATAAAGATGACCTCCTTGGTAACCCTTTGGGGCAGTGCTACTTGGCTGTGAGGCCGATGATACTTAGCATTAACTTGATTGCAACAGGTTTTGATTTTTGAATGTCTACAGTTCACATTTTTATAGCTACCCAAATACAAAAAGCCTGTTTCCTTGTGCTACCTCTGGTTTCTTCGTAACATGTCCATCCGGACACACACCAGCATTTTACCCAGTGCCTTCACTGAAGTTCACGTGAGGACTGTCTATCAAAAACATGACTTTGCAAATCTCCCCTCATTGCATATGGGAAGTAATTTTGCCTCTACTGTTGGAGGACATCTGAAGGACATATTTTGGGGAGAAAATAAACTAAACTTACTGGGTAGATAAATGAGTTGTGTAAAATTTTTAAGATTATCACTAAACTAGAGTCCTTGAGAGACTACAGTTTGAATTGAGACTAGCAACAAAGGAAAAATAGCAACAAAAATGATTACAGATTTTGAATTTTGATAAATTCTCAGAAGTTAAATTTCTCAGATTTTGTTCTCACACACTCACTGCCAGCGAGTCAATACTGACTCATAGCAACCCTCTGTGGTTTCGGAGACACTAGCAATTTACGGGTAGATAGCCCGGTCTCTCTCCCGTGGAGCTGCTGGTTGTCTTGAACTACCGACTATGCGGATTGCAGCCCAACTCATAACCACCACACTATCAGGGTCCACAAATTTCATTAGGGAATATCCGTTATTTACCATTTATTATGCTTATATGTGACCCATTCATATTTTAAAAATGAATAAATTGAAATATAAAGCCTATCTAATATCACTTCCTTTCAAATCTGAATTTCCCATTTTAATATTTTACCTAGAATAAAATATTCCCAACTGTTACAAGGTATCTGTCTTATCTCACTCTGAATGTTTACTGTTTCCATTAATATATCAATGCATTACCAGAATCAAAATTCATTACTTATGTTAACACTCCTGTATCCCATTTTCTGCAATAACATTTGTATGAGGTTGTTTGGAAATTTTAGAAGTGTCTGAATTCTGTGCCTTCTAAATTGTGACCTGTCTTTTTCTTCCATGGATTCTTCAGATCAACCTACGCCACCTCCTCAGATCAGTCTCACTTGGAGTCCCTTAGCACAGTGCCATTTGCAGCCTATATTCCAGCAGCCTCCTGCTCTTTCATTCCTTTTTAGCCACCCACAACAATTGTATGACAATCCCAGATTAGCTTCCCCACAGTGTGGCTTCCCTTAAGGTGCTCAGACTTAACAGAGCATGAAGTAGTGGAAGAGGGACGGGCCTGGAAAGACCCCAAGGCCTAAGCCCGGGTCCAATTTGCTAGCTTGTTGATGTGGGGCAGTCAGTCTTTGGGCCCTCACTGTTCCAATCTAGATCACTTCTAGTGTATGCACCCTGCCTGACTTATCCAATGTTTGGAATAATAAAAATATATAAGAAAGCAGACTGTGTATAGATAGCCGGACACTACAACAAAGATCTGAAGGATGACATAAAATGGAAGTGGATGGCTATCCTGGAGCCCAATGCTTCAAAGAAAAGGATAAAGCAGATCAAATACCGATCAAAGAGACAATGACAAAAGCTAAGGAAGCATGCAGAGTGGTGAACTGGATATTGGTGCAGCACAACACTGTTCACATTAAAGTGGGAATCAAAGAGCCAGCTCTGCTAACGCATTTCAGTGACAGGCAGCGAGGGGTAGGAGAACACTTCCCTTATCTTGTATAGCCTCCTAGTGACCTCCCCAATCACCACCCACTCCACAACTGCACAACCCCCCATTTCCTTGACTTCTGCCAGTGGTGTGCCATTTTTTGGGGTGTCCCCCATCTCCCCAGATCAGGTGTCTTGCTGCCCCTGCTTCCATGGTCCACATCATACACCAGTGCATGATGCCAGACCGGGAGAGACCAATCATTGCACCTTAGGTAGCTTCTCACGAGGTTTTAAGATGCAGTCACCACTTACTAAAGTAGGCTATAGAACATTGC